CCTCTTCAGGTTAGGAGGAGGGATCTCGACTAATCTGACCGTGTCCTGGAGATCCGCTTTTCGTAAGCAGCCGCGTAAAGCAGCGCTCAGTTCTACAAATGGGATACAGAATGGTAGCTTGGCCTGCTCTGCTTCCTGCCTATCTTCTGTCCTAGTTTGTCTTCTATGCCATGTCGGCCGTCCACAGCGAACATAGCCGTTCTCCTCTGCTACGCGGTAGGCCAGTGTCATCGCGGTCTGCTTCTGCACGCCCTTTCTAGATGAGACTGCCAGAGGCCGTATAGGCTACATGTTCTTGACAATGGCCTTCTTGGTGCCAGAGGGATGGGCCGAGCTGGAATGAACAATTATATTTTTACTGCTAGGCTTTCGATACCACTTCGTTCTATGAACTCCCCGCGAGAAATGTACTTGTACGTTGAGGAAGGCAAGCCAATCCTCTGTCGGCTTCCCGCGCGTGAACTTTATATTCTCCGCCTGCTCGTTTAGCAGGTGGGAGCAACAGTCGTTGGTCGTTCATCACCAACCATTACCACCGCTTCCTCTAGTACAATGCTTCCCTTCTTAGGTTTGATTAATTCAAAACTCGTCGCTAGCGAGGGGGAGAAATATAGGCCTTCAAAAATTCACCTTCTCTCTCTGATCCATCACGTAGCCTTATTTCATTCCACATTCCCCATAATTACTAAACTGCGTTCCGTGCTGTCCACGGTTTTCCCCGTGAGCACGACACTCCTAAAGGGCCACATAAATAAAGCCCTCTCATTGCAGTCCACAGAGGTTGAAAGTGCCGCCTTACCCACATCTCCGCGCAACACTGAAAAACTCCTGCGGCGAAACGTTTTTAGCTGGCTATGTGACAAAGCCCTTAGGATTGAGGGGCGGAAGTTTTGGCTAAAAGACAGGAGCGGCTCCAATTATGAGGACCGTCGTTATGAAGTTACCGAGATGAAGGTGTGTATTCACAGTGATTATTAGCTTAACCCGGCTAAGGTCAGGAAGATCTCCCGATCGGCTCCTGCCAGATCATACACCAAAGCATTCGAGCTGTCTACCCTGACCCCCCTCCAAGGCGACGATAAAATAGGTACCAGATTCTTTAAGGATAACAGGGCCTGCTTGGTTCGCGCTGCCCTCGCCCATCATTGTTTTTACTTCTATGAAGTTTCCATTCGTGTTGTCTAAAATCTCTTCACTGGCTGCGGTGGAACGTAGGCGACAAGTAGATGCTCCCACCTGATGGTCAGCCGCGTCCGAACTTTCACAGTCCACCTACTCCAACAAGCAGTACAGTAGCACTGGAAGAATTATCAATGATTCTGCACTGATTGTGTGGATGTCTCCTCTTAGCCACCTCGCCGCAAAAAATGTCATCATTGCTCTCTAGCTGCTTCTTTTGATCTCTAGCTGCTTCTTTTGATCACTCTAAGGATGGGCGACCAAAAAGGAAATCTCAGTTTCCAGGGAAAATAGAGAGGACGCCTTACCATGCTTATTCGTATCTTACGATGCAATTGGGTAGCGTCTTACACCCACAGCGCCACCTCCCACATCTCGAATGCTTAATGGTAGTTCAAATGCTTCTACAAGTGTGAAAGTTCAACAGGTTCCTTTTCAACAAATTTAAGTCCTGCATATGTTATTGAGAGAGCACTGTAGGAATTATCAGTTCGCATTCCCATCAAGGCAACGCGCTTCTTGGCAGATGGGCGACAGGCATTTTTCCAGCCTTTCCAGTCCATGTAAAATGGCGGCAGGTTTCACTTGGATAGACCTGTGGTCTTGTCAAGTGTAAACGAAGTCTGGTAATGCAGTTTCACAAAGGTTGACAGGTCTTCACAGGAGACATCGGTAATGATCAACGAGAACAAGCAACATGCCACCACCAAGTCGAATTGTCCGGAACTCGACCGAATCATGTCTAAATTAAACAAGAGACGGACTCTTGAATGGCGGCCCTCCCCATTTCGGCTATTTTCTGACATATAGAACGCAGATACTCATTTATTCCACATGTCATCATAATTTCTGAAATAAATTTCCTTTTCTTGTTCTGTAGTGAACACTAGCCTACGTCCGTCAACAGCACGTACATCCACAGCGCGGTGAATAGGTTTCATCGGTAGGCGAGTTGTCGAAGCATCGGCTGGTAGCACCGTTCGTCACATCAAAAAATCGCAAATGCAGCAATTCTTTTCAACGACGGGTGCGAGTTGGCCATCACCATGACGGAGGCAAATATCTGCAATCAATAAATCAATAACTCGAAACCGTTTGAAAAAGAGTAGCCGAACATCTTCAAATCTCACGGTATGAACCAAAGCAAGCTCTGAGCATCTAGTTCGTGTTGGCGTGCTGTATTGCGGCTTGTCAGGTTGTCTGGGTCCTTTCAAAATGTTGTCGTTTGTTTAACAACTGGAGGAAAACGAGCTGTGGTCCGCGTCAAATCCATCCTGCTCCTTTGACACGCGCCAGCATCTACTGAGGACAGTACTTTTATACCGCATTGGTGCTGAGTTATGGGCAAACGTCTTCACCCCAAGCACATCTCAGGAGAGTCTATCTGCTACGCTAATGGGACTTGTTCCAGAAGAAGTAGATAACGACGGAAAAGCTCAGTAGTGTCTTCCGAAGGCACAAAGTAAGCTGCTCAGGTGGGCGGAGACAGTCAACCCCTGCTCCTTCCTTATTGGTACGGCCATCTATTCATCGTTCGGGAAGTAGATTTTACCAGTGCAGGCAGTGGTTGACTGTCCCCACAAGCGAGGATTGTCCTTTCAATCAAATACCGTACCTCTGCCACCATAAGAATTGTGAAAGCCGAAAGAAGGATCTCCTGCACGATGATGTCATCATAGTGAAGTACGAATACGATTACATAGTAGTAGGCGTTTTCAGTGAAGAAAAAACACACGTATAGCACCATCAGCTTATTGAGCAGCCGAGCTGCTCGCATGTTCTCAGCGGTTTGATAGCGGATCTGAGAAGACAGAAAGTGCTCAAAATCTGCCACAATTACACAGTAATGGATTGAAAGTCCACGCTGTCCACGCTGTCTGAATGGGCGGGGTCGAGCCTACTATAGCACAGTGCACCACCGTCACTTGTGAGCCTACATACCTTCGCACATTAGGAAGGAGGACCGCATAAATGAAGAAGGCACTGTGTTAGGCCCAACTCCGCCCACACGATTGAGCGTGGAATGAGTCCCAGTTCTCACCGAGACTGTTGATCCTCTTCGTAAATGGGACCGATAGGCCCTTCGACTCACTAATGGCAGTATGCTGAATAACTGAAAGTTTATGGTTGCATCACGCTCCAAAAACCTTTCAACAAGTGGAAACAGTGATATAGAGATGCCACATAGTGTACCATAACTTTTTGGCCACTCACGAAGCCACTGTGCATCATCTAGACCGCAGTCACGAAGCGGTTCTAGTCTAATGTTGGCCGCAACGCAGCCGCGCTGCGCACCTTTGCTGTGTAAATGGAATAAAGGAACTTACCACACAGACGACACAGATAATTGCAGAACACTAAAACGCCGTGCAGATTCGAAATAAGACCGATGGTGTTGAGATAAATAAGAAATGAGACCACGCCTACCTGAAAACTAGCACGGAATCACGATTTATCAAACTAGAGGGTGAATTGGAGGTTTTTTCTCCAGAGGTGATTCGCGAGAATTCTGCTTTCATACGAAATCTTTGCCGTCAGTCATGCCGTCGTAACCGAACAGGGCGGTGTCGGAAGGCGTGGACTAAGTTGCCTCGGCTTGTGTTTTCTACCAAGTAGCGACCGCGCTTTCAAGGCAGAAAATCAGCCAGTGGTAGGAAACGACGCGAAGGCTTCTATTCCACGCTCCTGACACGCGCACGGACTTGCGCCCAATATATTTCTATGTCCTCTCCCAGCTCCTGATGCCTCTTACAACATTTTCATAACAAACTGCCAGTGTCTGCCTCTCCCTCTGCCTTTCCTCCGCGCCATATGCAGTCATATCACTACAAGCGAGAGGGCGGCTATGAGGGCGCCCTATTACATTACTCCATTTGCAGATGATGACTGTATTTGCTGTCCATCCTAAACACTCTTGACACGCTCATGACTTCAGAACGGAGGGTAGCGTTGGAATAGGTGAAATGGCAAAATAAATATGACCAACACGTGGTACATTGGGAAACCCCCACACATACATACCCATACTCCTTAGTTTTAGCACCGCCACAGTTCTATAATTCTACTATTCTGCATAAAAAGAAGGAGGTAAGTAGCATGGGGAAGAAGTCGTACCGAGAGAGAAAACGTGGAGAGAGGTCGTATTTCCTAAAGAAAGTCCTGAACGAGGGGACTTGCTGGGAGTATGACCCTTCACTATAGAGTCCTGGTAGTATCCCCTTCCAGCACTGCCGAATTGAAAACTCGCGCCTGATAGCCCAATAATCTACAATCTGGTGCAAATTATTTTCGGGTACTTTCCAACTTTCCAAGAATGTCGGTCAAAAAGTGGCCAGATTTCGGATGATGTGGGCGATAAAGGGTAAATAGTGCCAATATCCCCAAAATTGAAAAATCTCTCCATTGGGCTTTCGATGAGCAAATGGAGGAACACATGGGAGTTTCAATGCTTTGAGCGACCATAACGGTTTTATTAGGCATTCGCTTGCGAAATCAAAATTCATGCTGGAGAGCGATATGTCTCCGCTTTCTGAACATTTTACAACGTTTTTGTAGATTAGCTACATCAACAGATATTTTAGATGGGTTTTTGATGTGAGAAATTCTGAGCAGCTCGAAAGATCGATTCCTCCTGTAGTCTCCTGTTTTTGTACCAAAAGTAAGGGTTGACCTAGTGACCGCTTCCTCCGAGGTGGTGATGGTGGGTGGGCCGTCCGAACTTCGCTCTTGAAGATGACCCATAGAAACTCCAGTTTCCGTCACATGCGGGAACCCCGCGTCCACGAAGTTTTCACCCTTCCTCCTTAGCCACTGCTCACTACTCACCTATTATCCAATTTGAAACCACTTACCTGGACCAGTACCAAAGCAGTCGAGAAGAACGGGAAGCTCTCATTGCACTTCTCATATTTGACAACGATTAAAGTGGCAGCAAGTCGTTCAACAATAAAGTTTTGGCAAGGTTCAACGCGCCACCAAACATTCCTTAAAAGAGTAGATCAACATTGCTACCTGTTTCGAGAGACAATTCACGAAAAATTCGAGATATAACCTGAACATTCAAAATAGAGTAAATTAGAAGAAGAAAGGTTTGAAGGTTGGGGTTTTGAGAAAGTTTTTCTCATAATGCTGGACCTGTACCTTCTCTCGCTACTATTCCGCTGGTAGCTCAAAGGCGCTTACTGCCCGTCGTGGATGATACACCCATTCTTTATCCGACGGTCCCCTGCCCATCCATACCCGTTTTTTTTCGTGGAGTTTTCGTGGTTCCTGAGCTTTTTTTCAAAAGCCGGTAAATTGTAGCTTATTCGGTCAGCAGGTCCACGCTGCGTGTCAGCTCAGACCTCCTGACCCACATCCACGCCTGACCTAAGCCAAAAAGCACTGAGCTTGTAAAAAAACAATCAATAATCTCGAATGGTGCGTCACTCACCGAATTTCAAGGCAAATTCAATGATGTCGACTGAAGGGCTATCGTGTAAATGCAGAGCATCAAGAACGTCCAGCGCCAACGTCATGACAACAGCGATAAGTGAGGAGACTGGTAAAGCCGTCAGAAGCACTACCAGATTCGAGTGATATACCTGAAAATGAAATTGGGGTGTATCGGTTGATATTTGGCAAGCTCTGGCTGCCTAATTGGGTTGCTGCCAGAATACCGCTGGTTTTGGATTACCTTTTTCCGCCATAGTGTCGTTACTACGTAGAAATATAGAATAAAAACCGATACGGTAGCTATATTTTGCAGGCATTTAAGAGTTACGTAGATGGGGAACAAAGACGACGATTCCGTGCTGTTGCCAGAGACTGGTCGCATCTAAACATTCAAGTGGTTATGGTAGAAGAGGAACCATTCGCCGCAGATTTATGCTCCTTTAGGACGCGCCGTGCATCCAGCGTACATACAAAATTGTCATGAAACTTGTAATGGTGGAAGGTTCACTTCAGTTGCTCGGTCAGTTCAGGGTCTGAAGAAAGAAATTCCATTTGATCCGCAAAATCACCACAGATCCATTTCAGCTTTTTCCTAAACTTGCAAACGATTAAATGACCTGTCCCTCTCAAATAATGTACCTTAATACATTAAGTTATTCGGGACGAGCTTACTTCTAGGAGGTCATAAACTATTAGCAATCAAATGAATATGTACAACTCCTTTGCCAGTACATTGAGGCTATTCAATCAGGAATGTGCCAGGTGAACTAGTAATTATGCTCACGAAAGCACTAAAATGCGCTTATGGCTAAGTGGAACCGGAAGTGAAGAATTGCACGATCAGGATTAGCCAACTTCCTCCTTGATCCCATTGCTTGTGAGAACCCTCTTGTGTCTTCGGAACCTTCAGAACGTCAGAATATTTTTGTGGAGTGTTAAATTGCTAAATCCCTTGAGGGTCAGCCATTTACTCTCATGGAATAATTTTGTGGAATGTCCAAAAATGAATGAATGAATCTCTCAAGGGTCAGCCATTTACTCGACGTTCCTTCAGAATTAAAGGGGATGAGAAGCATAGTGAGTTTCTATAGTGTCACGCTATAATTAGAGGCGCTTAATTTGTTAAGCTCTTTTTCGGACAAGCCAGTTTACCAGGCATTATCACTAGAAGAATTTACAACTTGCTTTGGCTGTACCAGAAATCATTCCGCACCTTCGATGCAGCAAATACCGTAAGCTTGAGCCGAGATAGCCCTCTTTGAAAAACCTGCCATTCAACTGAGGGGCGACAAGTTCACAGCCTTGGCAGCGATGCCAAATAGAGGAATGTGAGAGTCGGCACATTACTTCACTCTTGACGTTCCAACCATAAAATTCAGACAAAGAAATCCTATCTAGAGGAAGTCGTCAAATGCGAACCAATAGCTCGACCCCCTCTTCACGTCCAGCTCCTACAACGAAAAATCTGTCGCACCTGGCGCTAGGCGCTAAAATGCCTCTGACTGCTAGGCTTTATTAGGCAGTTTGTCCTACGCATACTGTTCATTTTCCTCGCGCATCACTGTCGTGGTTACAAATGTTCTCGGTCAGTAGAGGCAGACATTCAGCCTAACAGAGTCAATAGCTACTGCGGGAGCAAGCCTTTTCATCGAAACCCTCTCTAGAGGGCAGAACCGTCAGAAGAACATTCTTTAGCAGGATTTCCGGCGCAGTTCGACTTGGAGAGGGCATTTTGCAGTTTTCCGTCAATCATTGCTGATGCCTCCACTGCAGACCTCTGTACTCTTGTAAAGCTATTCAAGAGCATGAGCTTCGTTCACACATGACAAGATTCTAGGTGAAACTCATCAAGGTGAAATGTGCAAATTGAGAGGAACTATCAAAGGAAACTAGGGAATCAGAATGCTCCTCAAACCGAACAGCGCCCAATTTTAGGCCTCAGGGTCGAATGTGGCCCAAGAATGAGCTTTATTTATAGTCGCTAGAGGAAAAATGACTCAGAGAACTGAGCTATGAATGGCAGTGTTGGTTGAGGCGTTAAAGTCGATCTCGCTGGAAGTAATTAATCAAACGGATAGTTTCACGGCGTGTAAAGACCCAATAAAGGCTATAATACCGCCTTATCGCAGCGCACGATGTTTGTGTGAGAGAAAACCAGAGTATTTATAAACAATTACTAATCGTTACATTCTTACAGAATGACCGGATGTTTAGGATGAAAGCGATGAATTTGCAGGCCACACAGCACCAATTTCCTCCTGGTCAGAACGAGTTTCTCCTATTTTTAGACAGCCTCAGAAAGCAGGTGATTTTGTTGTTCAGAATTTGTTGTTCAGGGATGTTTACCAATTCAGCGTCACAAGCTGGAAATAACGTGTATGTACTGATGAGTAATTGTTCAGAAATGCTTTCCACAGAGTGTTTCCACTTTTTTCACAAACTTGGAAGGTTTCTCTGGTTACTAGGTAGATGGCGTGAGAGTACGAGTACGACCCCGTCCCTCTATCCCCCCCCCTCCTTCACAGATAGATTATTTAGAGGGAGCTTGTGCAGATGGGTTTAAGGTGGCTGGTAGAGCGGAATGCAGAATATGCCCCTCCAAATTGCATAAGAGTTATTGTAATATGGAAGGATATAATTCTGATGATAAGCGAAACGACGAGGAGCTGTTTGGATCGGAGGGAAGGCTCAGAGTACAGCATCGTGATGTGTGGAATGGTGGTGCCAGTGCGACCCCCTCTAGGGGGATGCTCTCGGTACGACCCTCTCTCACTAAAGGAGGGTCTCGGTACGACCCCCCCCCCTTCCCCAGCACCTACTTATCACTTTCCTACAAGTGCCCAGCTTCCTACCAGATTCTCCGAGAATTTTGGAGCTTCGAAATTTCCAAAATTCTCCGTCGAAGGGGGGGATAGATACATGACACGGGGAAATTTGTGAGATTTTCCCTGAAATCCTGCCACATTTTCCCCAAAATGGCGAGCGGCGGGGGGTATACAGTACGCATGAAAAAGGAAAAATTAGGCGAAAAGTCAGCTAAAAGCCCGCAAAATTTTTTCCCAACGCGGCAATTTTCTCTCAAAGCCACATAAGACCACCTCTTCCCCTCTCAGCAACGATCAAGTACCACCCCCACCCTTACCCAGCCGAAAAGTATGATCCCCTATGTGTTATACACAACGCATGCTCTTACTCTGGGGGGAGGGGAGGGGGGCGGGGGCTTCGCTATGTGGCTAACGTTCCCTTACAGCACTTACTTTAGTAAGATTTTTAAAAGGACTCGCTTTGGTAGGTTTTTGCAGATAGCAAAGAGGAGTAGTAAGCCTTTTCATTAGGCAGAAGTCCACTAGTCTTTCACAAGGCCTCGTTGAATACTACGTGGTTCCCCCCCCAAAAATTTTCACAACAATGCAACCGTACAGGGCCTGACTGCCACAATCTGCCATTAACCATCTTTGAAGACGAACGCCCGGCGATTGCAGCGTCTGTCGATATATGGTAAACCTATTTGTACCAACTAACACAGAAGAAAAAATTGAACAATGATGGAGACATTCCTAAGAAGGACGCCTTGGGCCTCACCGTACGGACCTGCTCGTTCTCCGGACCTGCTCGTTTTATCCCAGCAAAGCGATTTCTGCCGCCTCTAGCTCAATAATCCTTTCTCTGCTTCATTCAGAAGTAATACCGTCCGACAGCGAAAGAAAAAACAGAAAATGGGGTAAAACTTTCGGGCAACTTTCGGTGGGCAGTGGCTAACTGGCGGGAGCGTCAGAAATGCCGCTTATGAGTGCAACAGCGCCTTCGCCACTCACCGTGAAAGCGCGAAAGTGGGATAGTCCTAGAGATTGAGGGCCAGACAACTTGTGGGACAAAGGACGCCTATGGTTCCTTTAAAAGTATGAGTACTTCCGTCCTTCAGTTCGTTTGCGAAAACTTGGCTCCGCCGGCAGCTTGCTTCCTCAGTAGTGGGCTCGGAGCAGGTTTCTTAGGCGGAGTAGCCTTTACACCAGTACTGAGATAGAATTCTCACCGAGTTTGAGTACAGGAGGAAAGATGACGTCAGCGATGGTCCCTGGCGCCCCTGGAAAAGAAGATCATGGTCTGCGACATGGGCGTCTGGCAACCTGGAATTACTGAGTTTAAAGAAAAGCAGGGGAATTATGAAACTGTTCCGTCGCCATCGCTTCTTGAAAGTTGAATCTCGAAGGAGCACGCAAATATACGAGAACCTGAGCATTGCTTAGGTTTTTTTTGGATCATGCTGTCTCCTTCAAATAAGCTTTTCAAGTCTTTCTTGCTGAGTAATGTTCATATTGAAAGCTAGGTACCGCTTTTAGTACGACCTTAAAAGAACTGGGGTGAAGAGATGTTGGACCTACTATTTTGAGGTAGCTTTGAAAACTAGGAGCCTCTGAGGCCCCTCAGGCTTATAATGGGGAATAAGGTGGGAACATCAGGCTAAAAAACACTCCATTTGAAGAGGCCGTTCCTGGTAAGTAAAATTTGTACCATTGGTTTGCTTGCCTGGAGTCTCGGGCGAAAGTCGTTCGTAAAGGGCTACGTTGTCAACATGCGTACGTTCCAAAGCGTTCACTTATACTCTCTTTTGTCAAGTGAGACACCGTTCTGCTTCCTGACAGGAAAACTTGGCTTTGGTGCTGCTATCTTTGGTTACTTGGATACTCAGTCTACAGACTTCATATTGCGAACTCCAGGGCGGCTGAGGCGCGCTGCCAATGTAACGTGACAGGCGGGCTCGCCGGCCTCGGTTGACGGCGAATCAGCTTGGTTTCCATGAAATCCGGCTGCGAATTCCCACTTTTTCAGCTCTTCAAGCTTTGAAACTGGAATGGTGAGGTATTTTGAACAAATGACTTGTACTGGCTCTGAATTGAATCTAAAATAATGCGCCAAGCATTGCGAATAAATGCCTGAAATAAGGCAAAACACAAGCAAAAGAGCATAATAATAGGCATAAAAATAAAGGAAATTAGAGCCTGTACAATTCAAAATTGTTAAAAATGACTCATCTTCCCACTTTCGAAGCTTGAAGAGCTGAAAAAGTGGGAATTCGCAGCCGAATTCCATCGAAATCAGCTGATTCGCCGTCACCGAGCCGCAGCCGCTGTCGCGTCACAGCGCGGCTCACCCGCCCCAACAGTCCGCAATGATGAGGAGTACTGTACATGCTTACGGTGACTTCAGGTTTCTCGGATTTTTTTTTCTTTCTTATTGGTTAAATTATTCTCAAAAATGTTGAATGTACTTACCGGAACTTTTGTTTTTTTTTGGTTTTTTTTTTCCATGTTTGATGGATCCGCGGATTTTTTTTCAATAAGTGTAATGTTGAGGGTTCAACGTGGGAGAACGCAGAGAATGACAGCTAGCCGTTTATTTCATAAGGACCAAGAAGCGAATCACTAAGGTTGATTGAAGAAAAGTTTGACGTCGTTGCTGCCGTCGGCTCTGATACTTCAGTCTGAAAAAGGACTTACCAGATTCAATGAAAAAGGTTTACACGCCAATCCATGAAATTCGAGTTCAACGAGTGAGCTCCCGAGATCTCGATGTCGACTTTCCTGCCATTATAATACGTGAACCAATCTGTTACCTTTACGCTTTCTTAGCCTTAGGGGCCGTCTTTGCGGGCTCCTTCTTGGCAGGCTCCTTCTTGGCAGGCTCCTTCTTGGCAGGCTCCTTCTTGGCAGGCTCCTTCTTGGCAGGCTCCTTCTTGACAGACTTTTCAACCTTCTTGGTATCCTTCTTAGCATCCTTGGCGGGCTCCTTCTTGACATCCTTTGGAGCATCCTTGGCAACCGCTTTCTTGGGTTCAACCTTAGTGCGGCCATACGTCGCACGAACACGCAAAGGACAGCGAGGACACTGATCAGGAGCCAGAAACGCATTCTTCTGAAAAAAATCTGATAGGAGCATAATTACAACTTTACTGGTTACTATGTACTAAATGGTAGGAGTCTTCTTCTCGCTTTGCAGTCTTATTACGGCTGACAATTGGGAGTGGGGGAATGGATTAGCCGTGGCGCTGGCCTGTTTTTCTTCCAACAAATGACAAGACTGAATCACACCGTTCCTGTAATAATTTTCCACTTGTCGCTAAGCCGCTTCAACGACTGGTGGGGAACGAGCTGGCGGCTTGCCAAATTTCTTTTTCTTCCTATCACGGACAGGCCCTTTTCACCCACAGACAGCAAGAACTGTTAGTTCTGACACGAGAGCCGTATTTGGGAATTGAGAGCACAGCTAACCAAGCATCAAGTCAGTAGCAGAATAAAAAAGGAAGCTGCACCCAGGGCTGCGAAGAGCCAAGAGATTGGGAGGAAATGACTCATTACGTTCCACGAATGTCTTTTCTCGCAAGCTCTACAGAGAACGGATCTGGTGGAGGCTCAAAAAAAAGAGTATCAGAAGAAAGCAAATGACTACAGTAGTGGCGCCGCGTGGTGTTTTTATAGCCCCTCTTTTTAAAGGTGTTTAGCAATTCAAAATCATCATTTAATTCCATTACAACGAAGATAAGGATAAAATGGCGCTTGTATTCATATGATGAAAAGGGCGACGATAATCTTCTGCGCCAGACAAGATGGGCATTGCTTTTAGTTCGAAATGGAATAGCGTACCCCCCTTGCATATGATTTGATGCTTGTAACACCGTGTTCTTTTTTGTATGTCTTATTGTCGCCATCTTTTACCCATCTCCAAAGCTTTAAGTCTGTGAGGGCTCAATCAGAACATCCTTACCGACTAAAAGCTATGCGTGATGGGTAAAATTCCACTGGTTCCATTACGAAATTCCCGTTCCTCCCTCGGCATCCACGGTCCTGTCGCAAACAGTGCCCTTTAGTGACTGATACGATGAAGGTAGCACCGTCTTATCTTTCGCCGTTCAACCGAGCGACGCCGCTCCCAAACAATGGGTATTCACCCCATTAGATGAGCCCAGACTGCTCGTTTTGGCCCTTTTCTTACCATCTGCAATTCCATGGATCGTCAACACGTCCTATGGATCCTTGAAAGGATTACCGATTCGTTCAGCGGATGGCCAAGCATGCCACATTTTTCAAGGTTAGCAGCCAATAGTTTCCAGCAAAAATATTTCTCCATTGCTCTGTTGAGACATATAGACCCGGGTCGAAATTGCCTGCCAACTGGTCCGCCTGATAGGTTACAACCTGGTCCATGACTCTCGGTCCGCCATGAAAACTTAAAATAAAAGTTTGGCACGGTGCACACTAAAGCATCACACTTCACAGCATATTTTATAGCTTCCAAAAATCGGCTTCAGACTGTAGTGTGCTAGTACTTCCGACTGTAGTGATAGCAATAAAGTCCATATGATCTAAACTCCCACTCATTTCCTCTCAATGATCTGTTAGGGCGGAATTTGCACAGTTAAACATTGTTGACTTTTTTCCACGAAAGCTGACGCTAGAAAGTTCAAGCTCAGTTTTCAGTGTAATATCAGATCCTACTCTCTATGAATTGTTCTTAGAGGCACATATTTTCCAAAGACCCTGACCGCAAGTGCACATTCCGTAAATACCTGGTAGCTGGAATCCCTTAATTGCACAAGATAGCCTGCTTCAAACCGCTAGGTGTCTCTACTTTCGTGATTCAGAACTGGAAGACGAGGTACTCATTGCCCTGAACTCGTCTTTCTGTTCTCTTTTCATCTGATCTCTAGCCGGCGCGCTCAGTGTTTCCTCATGCCACTGGTACAAGGTTCGAAGCTTAACAAAAAGCTTACGATCGCTTTTGACAGCTTTCTCAGCTTTCTCTGCTTTTTTTCATTCGAGATTTGGTTGGCTACCATCTACAAACCCATAAGGAAATTCTTTTACTGAAACTTGCAACCGTAGAAAGCATCTTCGAATCTCGAAAACGGATCTTTGGTTTGTTAAGACTGCAAAAGTTTTGCTATGTGTGTATTTCGCTTTGAGCTTTCATGAAAGAGTACACTCTTGAAGGCGATTCCGATTGCGAAACCTCCGATTGGTGAGCGACGTTTCAAGTTACCAGAACCGCCAGAACCTTGGGATGGAGTCAGAGATGCAACACGCTATAGGTAATTAGCTTCTGATCATATCAAGGCTACTTTCAACCTTATAGAGCCTATAGCAATCAATACTCAGCATTCCATAATCAAGTGGGTGGGGCAGTACGGAAAAACTAGACATGTGAGCAGACTTTGCGCTGATTTCAAGGTTCAGAGATGCGTATTGAGAGTGCTATGGGCCTATGTTACCTGCAACGCCCCCTCGTTATGGAAAACTCCACCCTGAAATGGACGTGTTGATTGTTCTGGTGTCTGCTGTCTCAGTTCCCCTCTCTCTTTTTCGCTGTTCGTTTATTTGCAATAAATGATCTTTCTTTGAACAGTTAATTTTACAGTGATGCCTGCCTGAGCAACTCGAGTATCAGCAAATCACCGCAGAATTTAATGAGCGAAGATTGCCTCTATACGAATATATTCACCAGTGAGAACTGCTTGTCGCGATTACTGTAAATAGCTGTAGAAGGTATTGAAAACAAAATACTGGTAAAAATTGATGCATTCGCAGAAGCGCGTCATGTCCCGTTGTGTTCTACATACATGGCGGTCGTTTGAAACATGATTCAGCGGTGATGTTTGATGATCAGTACATAACGGATCGATATTCGTCAAAAGGTGAATGAAGAGTAGGGGCAGGGCTTCAAGATAGCCACTCACTCTAAATTTCATTTCAGACGTGGTTTTTGTGATATCGGCTTATCGACTTGGGATTTTCGGTCTTGCTACATTCGCCGACGACTCAGTTGTTCCTCGGAATTTAGCACTTTACGGTATGCTGGCACCATCTGCTAAATACATCCTCTCTCAGTAGAGAGAGTCAAGAGTCGGTCGGGAGATTCATGTGGCGGCAAGGCGGTCAACGTCTGCATCGAAATGGATCTGACCTGGTTTTTTGCAAAAGCGCTGCACTGTTTGACGCTTTGAGATCGTGAGGTGGGGTCCGCTAACTCTATGCGCTGGAACTTCGCTCAGCATACGCGGGGTCTAATGCGATATCCTTCAGTGAGAGTATATAAGACGGAAAACGTTCAAACATGCACTCCCTTCATCATTTGCTCGTGCATACAATGCCCGCAGCGGATGCTGTCTTATTCATAGCGCTCTTACAACCTATTTTGCCTTTTTTTCTGGGAAGAAGCCGCTTAGCAGCCGCTCCTGTTCATATACAGGGGGGCCAAAAGACATTTCGACCGAGTCACATATCAGCAAAGTTTTCGCAGCCCAGACAGAGGACGTGGATACGAGTACCAGGGCGGAAGATACCCAAGATGTTCCTCGATAAGCAGGAGCTGGCTCTCGCCCATCAGCTTCATGAAAAATGAAGATATAATATTCAAATAAAATAAATAGAATAATATTCAAAATATGAAGTCATCTCCAGTCGCAGCCTGACTGGAGAAGACCTTTGGAATTCATGTCACCTCCAAACAGCTGCGAAACTTCTAGTATGGAGTCACCCATGGATAGCTACCTGGAGACCAGTACTCTCGATCTGGATGACCTCCAACATCGAGCAGCTCCGACAACGTCGCCACGGTCTAGGACATCATCTTTCACCCCAGTCGCCAAGGCGCGGGTTGATGGTATGGACCGGACGTACCTAGAATGGGAAGAC